CTCTCTCGGTGTGGTCACTGGGCCCGTGGAAGGTAGAAGACAGGGGTGGAGAAACAAGCAGCACTCGGAGCTTCACCTCGCCCGGCCCAGACATACACACGCATAGTACGAGTGGCCCGGCAGGCTCTCCACGCGAGGCGCGGCCCTTGATTTTTTTTTTTTCCCTTCCCCTCCCCACCACACACACACGTCACTGGCTTTCCTGGCGCCAGTGGCCGCGGCCTGCGCCTCTGCCTGTGAGAGTGTGGGTTGGCGCATTGAGGCACACGCCGACGCCGCCGACCGGTTGCCCTTCCCGGCTGTAAGTTGCCGCTTGGGTTTCGGCTCGAATGGGGTCGCGGGCGTCTTGCGCGGTGCGGCGCGTTAGCGGGTCCTTCAACCCGGAGAGCCGTGGCCGTGTGTGCCCAACGCGTCACGCGTCAGACGCCGCACCCCTCGACGAGGCCGCAGTGGGGGAGGAGCACGTGCCGGGGGCGCCGCTCGCCGCCCGTGGCCCCGGTCCCAGCCACCATGAGGAAGATGCTCGTAGTCACGACCGCGATGCTGACGCGGCGACGCCCGTGGCGGCCCCGCCAAACGACGCGACCACGGCGGAGGAGAAGGACTCGCCGAGGCCCGCGCCTAAGGAAGGTGGCGGGAATGACGCCGGCGCCCACACCCCGCATGGCCTCGCCCGCAGTGCCGGCCCCCATCAAGGTTCCGGCGCCGCTGCGGAGGGGGCGGTGGTGAACACTGGCGCCGGCGGGCGCGAGCAACGCGGCGGAGGTGCGAGCGACACTTTGGTCCCGCGCCGGGGGCAGCCAGGGATGCCGGACGAGCACAGCGACCGTGGGCGGCGGATGCAGCAGCGGGGGGGGTTTGACGACGCCTCCCCGCCCACAAACACCGGGCCCCGCCGCAGTGAGGCGACGAGTAGGGAGGCGCGGCGGGGGCAAAGCGAGGAGCGGTCGCAACGCGACATTCACCAACACCGCCAGCAGGCGGCGGAGGCGCCGCATGGTGGGCGCGCGGCGGGGAGGCGGCTTCTGTCGTATGACGGTTCCGGTAGCGTGTTTTCGCCTGTGCAGTCCTCCTCGCCCCGTAGTGAGGCATCTGCGCGGCGCCGGGTGGCGTGCTCCATTCAGGCTTTGGCGCATCGGGCGCGGGCGGTTGTGATGGAGTCCAACGAGGCGAACTCGCGGAGCTCGTCCAGGCCGACCTCAACGCGTAGCAGCGAGTGGGTCAAGCGGAAGAGTCGCAAGGGCGACAGCAGCCAGAGGCAGCAGCGGGACCGCTACAACGACGGCAATCACGCGTCCCTCACCCTTCTGGATGTGTACCGCAAGTACTCCCGATGTGAGGGTGACGATGTGCCGCGCGGCGGCGTCGCGGAGAAGGAAGAGATACGAGGCCAAGCGACGCCCCACGGCAAACCCGTCCCTTCAAACCGACACGGCTCCTCTCGACGCGGCCGAAGCAGCAATACGGCGATTGTGAGCGACGACGACGCGCCCAGCGCGGGGCCCCTGCGGCAGGAGAAGGCGCGCAAAAATAGTGCCACTGTCTGGAGCTTCGGCCGCACTTTTGGCTCGCCTAACCTGATAGCGACCTGTGGAGAGGGGGACAGCGAAGACGACGACGACGACGACGACGAGTGTGGTGTGAACAGCTTCCGCCCGTTCCCGTGGCACGCGCCGCTGTGCGCCGATTCCGCCTACGGCCTGGGCACCGCGCCGCAGGAGGCGAGCGTGGACGATTTCTCGCTCATCTCCCCTATTTTTGCGTCCTCCCCGCTTCGCAGTGAGCCCACGGGGGCGAGCGGCCGGCCCGACGCCGGCGCGGAGGGGAAGACCGGCACGCGGGGGCCTCCGCCGGCCACCGCCGCGTCCTCCACGTCCCCTCGGCGGACGGAGGGCGATCGGCGCGCGACGCGGAGCCCCGACTTCTCGCTGCCGTTTTTCACGCCGCGGCACCCGCAGCCGGAGCCCCTCACTTACCCCCGGACGCCGAGCCACGGGCACCGGCCCAGCCCGCCCCCGCCGCCGCTGCAGCCGGAGTGGCCCAGTTGCCTCGAGTCGTCTTGCCTCCCAAGCGCTGCGGCGCAAGAAACTTCCGGGCTCGCCCGCGCTGACGCAGCGACCGCGACGGCGCCGGCCCGCTCGCCCTCCCCCACCGCGGCGACGACCAAGACGACGTCCAGCGTCCCGCAGGCCTTTGCCCCGGATGATGGCGTGACCAGCGTGTTTCGTCCGCTGTCTTGTTTCCCGGACCGCTACATTGAAATGCTGCAGCAGCAGCGCATGAACGTGCTGGACGACGCCGGCGGCGACAACTCCGGCAATGCGGACTAACCCCGCAGAGGTGTCAGCGCATCATAGTGTGTGTGTGTGTGCGTCTGTGTCGACTCCAGGCGAAGAGACCGACAAGAGGGGGAAAAAAGAAAAGATGAATAAAAGCCAAAAAAAAAATTTAGGAACAGAGTGAAGTCAAAAATATTTTTTAAACAAAAGGGGAGTTGACCATGACACGGCAGCGAAATACTCTACGAGTAGGGGGGTGAAATACACGGAATGGAAGTCAACTTGCCCATTGATACGTTTAGATATATGTATATATATATACACGCACACATATATATATATATATATACATACATGTCGAGGTAAGAACGTTGGTGAGCTCTCACGTGTTTGCTGCGTCCACGCATTACCTTAACTGATGTGTGTGTTTTTTCTTATTGTATTTTAATTTCATGGACGACAGCTGTGAAGCACCTCTCAACCATCTTTCTTGTCTTCGTCGGTGTACGCTGTCGTTTTCCTTGACTGCACCTGGTGACAGGAGGCGGTGGGGGCGTAGTAAAGTGAGAAGAAGGGGGGGGGAAGGAGGGAGCAAGCGGAGTAAAGCATTAATAAATGTGGGGAGGAGAAGGGGGAGCAGTCGCCACCCTTCAGCTTGCGCATGCAGCAACTTAAACCGCTAAGTGCATATTTACATGCATGCACTATATATATGTGTGTGTGTGCGTGGGTGGGTGGGTGGGTGCCCCCTTCTTTCTTATGTCTCATTCATCTCTGTATGTGCAAGTAGGTAGACGAATACGCCGCCGTGATAGATTAGAGGCAGTTCGTATGTCGACGATGATTTTGGGGTGGGTGGGGGGGAGCGGGGGTGGCCAACGTGCCCTCGCACACGCGCGCAAAGGAACCGCGTTGCTGTGGGTCGTGAAATGTAAATGTGTACATGCTTATTGGTGCGCCAGCTATTGTTGCTGTTATTGCTTTGTTTTTTTTTTAAATTATGTTTGCGAGTGAATACTGAACTTTAGCTATTTATGTTTCTGTTACTGTGTTTGCTGTGTGTTTCTAATTTTTGTATTGCGCCTCTTCTCACTGAGTGGGTGTGGTGTGTCTCGCTTGGTTTGCTTCCACCTCCGTTATCGCCCGCACGCACGCACGCACACCTTTCCCTTCATTCCTCCTCTCTCTCTCTTTCTCTGCGAATCATGGGAAGGCGGAGGGGCGTCTTCCGCGCCCGCCCGCGTGGGCTTCACCGTGCCCGTTGCGCATATATATGTTTCTTTTTTTTCAGCAGCAGCAGCAGCGGGGCGCGTCCGTGTGCAAATGCGGCGATTTTTTTCTTGTTTTTACCCATCCTGCCTGTTTGTGTGTGCGGTGCCTTGCGTGTCTGCCTCTGCCTGCCGGGGGAGGGTGTTGTTGAGAGTGCAAATGGCTTATCCCTCCCTTTCCCCCCCCCCTCTCCTCTCCTTTTTTCTTCTTCCCTCCGTCCGCCTCTCACGCGTGTGCCGCCGCCGTTTCCGCGTGCGTGCGTGCGTGTGTCTGTCGGTGCTTGCGCGGCGCCGGGGGAGGGGAGGGGCGCTAGGAGGCGAAAGCCCAGAGAAGAGAGTAGGGAAAATAGAGAGAAGGCGAGAGCGAGCGGGGATATGCCTGGCGCCGTGCCCACGGCAACGGATTTTGTTCAGGACTATGCGGCCAAGCGGGCGGCGCAGATGGAGCGTGCTAGGCGGATTCGTGAGGAGCGGCAGCAGTTTCAGCAGTCGCAGCAGTCGCAGCAGCAGTCGCTCTCCTACAGCGCAAACAGCGCGGACAACATGAGCGGCAGTCTAGTGGCAACCCCGCCGATTCTTCCCCCGGCGGCACGTAGCCGCCGCATTGCAAATGTGGTGGAAGAGGATTTCAAGCGCGCCACGAAGGCCGGCATCATCACCCCGGACCAGGCGCGTCAGCTGTGGGCGATGCTCTCAGACCAGCTCGTGCAGGTTGACAGCCCTGGGCCCAGCGCGCCGGCGGGGAGTAGCTACAACGCCCACATTCCGACACCCACGACGCAGGAGGCGCCGGCGCGGAAGCCGGCAAGCTTCGGCAACAGCATCTCGCTCGACTCCCTGCGTGCCTCCATCGCCCAGTTTAAGGCGAAGCAAAGGCAGCAGCAGCAGCAGCAGCGGCAGGACGTCGTCCAGCCGCAGGAGTTAGTGGGGAGGGCGGGTGGGGGCGGTGGCAGCAACGCTAATGAGGCGTACGAGCTGGCGACCCGCCTCTTTGCGCCCCCGCCGGCTGGGGTAATTGCGGGTACAGCCGGGGCAGCCATGCCACGCCCCGCCCGCAGGGAAATTCGCGCCGGAAGCAACGAAGCTGCAACCCGGCAAATGGAACCGGCAGAGGAGCCGGCGGGCGGTGATGAGATGAATGACTGGGGGCTGCGACGAAGCCCACTGGCACGGAAGGCAAAGCGTGATAAGCAGCATTCGCAACCAAAGAAGCCGGCGTGGAACTTTGATGTCGAGCTGGGGCACAACGACAGGGAGGCGGAGGCGGAGGCGGTGGCGATACCACACATGAAGCGCCCACTCTCCCGGCAGCAGCACCAGCAACGGCGTGGCTCAGAGGGGGGCGGGGGCGCGCAGCAGCAGCAGCGCATGAACCCGCCCATGCAGTTTGACGAGATGCCTGTTGGGAGTGTGGCGTCCGCAACGGCGGTGGAGGCGTCCCAGCGACCGCGACAGCCGCAGCCGGTTGTTGCCAAGACGGTCATGAGCAAGAAGAAGGTGAGCAACGCCGCCGTGCAGCCCTCCCCACGCGCCGCCGTTGCCTTTGACGAAGTCGCCGTGGGTGCGAGTGGCGCTGGTGGTGGCGGTGGGAAGGGCATCGGCGACGCGGTGGCGTCGCAGCCGGCGGAAAAGGAATCGTTGCTGTCCTGTGGCTTGTGCGGCCGCAGCTTCCGCGCGTCCATCCTCGCTCGGCACGAGGCTGTCTGTGCAAAGATGCAGAAGAAGCGGCGCGTCTTTGACATGAAGGAGCAACGACTAGAGGGCCTTGAGGGCATTCGCGAGGTGGCTGCAACGAGCGCCAGTGCCTCGCTGCGGAGCGGGAAGCGGCAGCCGGCGGGGGCGGGGGCGGCTGTTGCCAACCCCAACCCAAGCAAGCTGCCCAAGTGGAAGATACAGCACGAACAGTTTCAGGCCACCATGCGTGCCATGCGGCAAATGAACGCGGAGGCGGGCGGCGGCGGCGGCGGCGGCAAGGGCAACAACCTTGGTGGCGGCAAACATGGAAACCCGCTGCCACCACCGCCACTGCCACTGCCTGAGGAGTACGACGACCGCGTGCCGTGTCCTCACTGTGGCAGGAAGTTTGCCGAGCTCACGGCGCAGCGGCACATCCCGAAGTGCATGACGACCATTGCGAGACCAAAGGGACTCCGTCCGACGCGTCGGTGATGCGGCGGGCCCCGTCTATCTACTTCGCCACGCATACGCGTCTGCCGATGTCTGTCCTCTTCCCCCCCCGCCCCTCCCCACGCGCGCGTTAGATCCCCTTTCTGATCGCTGCCTTTTGCTGCAGGAGGTGGGGGGTGCGAGGGCGTTGCGGTCGGTGGTGGTGCCTCCATCCACACACACCTGCGCACAGTTTCTCGTCGCTTCCTGGTTCCCCCTCCTCCTCCTCCTCCTCATCCTCCCAGCCCTTCTTCAATGCGGAGTTGCCGCGTCATTTTTCACGTCGTTCCTGCGTGGGACCGAAAGTGATGGAGAGGGAAAGACCAATAATAATCGTAAGTAGAATTTTTTTAAAAAGAAAAAGAGGATGAGGTCGGTGATGGTGCCGCGAGGGGAGGGGGGTGGTGTAGAAGGAGGCAGCAGTCACTGAAGTTATCTTTTCCTGTCGCTCGTGCTACTTTTTTCTTGTGTGTGTGTGTGTGTGTGTTGTTTTCATTTGTGTTTTTTATCCTGCTTTTTGGTGGTGGTGATGCGGCGCTGAAGTGTAGGCGATGTGCCCCGCCCACCCCCGTGATGGCAGGCATTATACTGCAGTACATTTATACACATGGACCGTAACCACATATAGAGTGAGAAAAAAGGAAAGAGTGAAGCAGAGAGTGAGAGATAGATAGAGAGAGAGAGCAGGCTGGAGGAGTTGGGACGCTGTTAGAGAATGAGTCGCTGAAGTGGGAGTGAAATGCTATTTATCTGCCTCACCGTGTCAGCTGGCAACACGGCGCCCAACGGTTTGTGCCAGTGGCAAAAAGGGATGCGTGGGAGGGGAACGTAGAGAGGCGGGGGGCACTCCCCCTGCGCGTTTGAAATGTTCCGTGAATTTTTTGGTTCATATCTGTTTGTTTGTTTTTGTTTTTCTTGTTTTCTTTTTGTTGTGTGTGTGTGTGTGTGTGTGGGTTTTACTGTTGCGTGGCTGTTTCCCTTGGGGGCTGGACGAGGAGGCAGGCGAGGCGGGTTCCAGTCACTCCATGTTCGCCTTCACCCCGTGAACGGGTTTTTTGGCGGGCGGGCCGTGGAGGCTTCCCGTCCACGCAGAGTGCATACTGACCACAGAGATATATCTACATGCACACGCAACGAACGGTGGAGGGGAGAGAGTAAACGTCACTGTTGAATGCGTGGAGGGGGGTGAAAGTCATCCTCGTCGAAGTGTTTCATATTGCTCACTCTAATAAATATTATATATGTATATAATTACGTGTACCAGCAAGGCATACCACCACGTGGACTTTTTTTTTTTTAATTTACCTGCCCGCCTGTTTGTCGTCAGCTTACAATATGCCTAAACTTATGTGTGTGTATCTTGCTTCTGCGCGTGCATCCGTGCCGGTGTGGTGCATCGGAGCAGAATGGCAAGATTGAGAAGGGAGGGAGGAGCCTCTGATATAAAAACAACAAAGGAAAAAAAAATTCTTTGTGTGGGACGTGCATGTTTCCTTTCATGCCTTACAGTGTGTATGTATGCCTCCCGCTCGCTCGCCCGCTTCGCGCAGGTGATGTGTTTCTGCCCCTCCCCGCCGCTGCTGATATTTGCATGTTTTTTTTTTGTTTCTCTCCGCCTCCTTTCTCCGCCGCACGGAACCAATTCCCCAGTTGCACGCGCGTTGCCTGCGCAGCTGAAGCGAGGGAGCGGCGTTGATTCCTGCTCGGGGGGGCGCTGCTGGTTTGGGACGCGTATTTCCTTTTGCGTTTGTCTCTCGTCCCCGCCCCCATTGATGCTGCTGCGACGCACAGCCACGGCGCTGCGCTACCGCACGGCATGGCGAGAGCTGCTCCACCCGCTGCCGGTGAAGGCGCGCAGGGCGGAGTGGCTGAAGCGCGACGCGGTCGAGCAGAACGAGGCGCTGCTGCGCCGGCCGTACTACACCCTCAAGTCCTACGCGCTGCCGCCGGTGGTGGGCCGGCAGCCCCCCGCAGCCGCAGCCGCAGCCGCCGCCTCCTCCGCCGGCGTCGAGGATGCGCTGCGGCAGCCCCGCCGCGCCACCTCGCCGGAGCGGCTCCAGGAACTGCGCGAGCAGCTGCAGTTCCCCGGCGCCGTTGGGCCTCAGCTGCAAGCCGTGTCCTCAGTGGGGCGACCGACGGAGAGCTACACGGAGGCGTACGGGGCGCGGCTGCGGCCACGCTACCCAGAGAGCTGGGACACCGTGCCGCCGCATCAACCCTCACGAGGCATGCTGTGAGAGGTAACACGGCAACTGTTTCTGCCTGCTAGCAAAAAAAAAAAGGTATGTTTCCCACGTGTGGTTATGTGTGTGTGGTTATGTGCCTGTGTGCCTGTGTGTGTGTGTGACACTTGACAGTGTTGGCTCTCCCACGTCTGTAGTGCTTCTGCCGCTTTCTCCGCACTTTTTGCGTCCCCCCCTCCCCCCGGTGCTCTGCACTGCTGGGCCGCAGCAAGACCTGCAGTGTGTGTGTGTGTGTTTACGGTCGCAGAGACGAAGAGGCAGCTGCTCGGCGACGCATCAAAAGTGGTAGCGGGGAGGTGCGTACGCTGCGGGTTTTGCTCTACCGGGTGTATCGCTGCCCAAAAAAAAAAAAAAAAAACATGTTGCTCTCCCTCCGCGACGTCATGGCGCGCCCCGCCGACGCCGAGGCGATGGAGTTGCTCAAGGACGAGTACAAGAAGTGGTGCGTCGGGCGCCTGGACGACGACGGGGAGGAGAGCGGGGACGAGGAGGACCGCAACAACAACGACGACGAAGTCAACCCGCAACACGGGCTGCCAAACGTGTCGGGCGCCTTCAACGTGCGGGCGCTGGCTCGGGTGGAGTTCCCCCGCACGTGGGTGGTGCCGCTGGGGACGATACCAGCGGCCTGCTACACAAACGCGGCGGTGAACGGGGGGACGGACATGTCGCTGCTGGTGGATTACAGTCGCACCCGTGGGGTGGTGCGGGTGCGCAGCGAGCTGCTGAAGCCGACGGGCGATGGGGGTTTGCCGCAGAAGGTGCTGGCCGTGTGGCCGAAGAGGCGGCCACGGTCGACGCAGCAGGAGGGGCAGCAGCAGGAGGAGGAGGAGGAGGAGCAGGCGGTGCTTTACTGGCCGGCGTTTGTGACGCGCGTCGTGGGCGTCTTTGCGGACCCGTCGCTGGACGGCTCCCCCGCCAGCCACGCCTGGCTTCAGGCGCACGAGCGCTTTGACGACATCCTCGCCGCCGCGCTGCGCTCGCCGATGCGGGTGTGCGTGGACGTCGCGTTCTGCATCGACGAGGTCAGCGCGGCGCGGCGGCTCACCATCGCGCCGGCGGTGCGGTACCCCGTCGGCGCCGCCACAACGCCCGACCCCGAGATCGCCCGGGTCTCGCAGCGGGCCGCCAGCGAGGCCGACTGCCCGCTGCTCGTGCCGGCGGCGGTGCCGGAGGTGGTGTCGATCCGCAACTACTCCTACACCGCCGTCGCGGGAAAAGGACGGCGCCCGCGCAGCCCCTCGTACACCTCCGCGGCAGCCACGCCTTCCGCCGGGGCGACGCCGGCGGGAGATGCGGCATCGCGGCGTGGAAGCGGCGGTGCTGGTGTCGCCGCTGCCGCCGTCGGGTTAGCAACCAAGGCCAAACTCAACCGCAACACGCTTTCGCACAGCCCTATAGCGCTGCTGGATATGTTGGCAGGGCCTGTTTGTCAGACGCAGCAGTTTGTGTTTCTGCGGCCGACGGCGCAGCTTGCAGTGGCGGTGCAGCGTGCGGCCGTGGAGGAACTCTGTGCCCTTTGGCACAGACTGCGATGCGCACTGTTTGAGCCCCTTTGTGCCGAAGAAAGTCTGCTGCCGTCACTGCGAGCCGCAGAAATTGGGCTGCCGTCGTTGCGTGCCGAGTCGGTGAGGGAGGCCGCGGAGCCGCCCTTGCAGCTGCCGGACCCCGACACCTACGTGAGCCCGTACGTGCAGGCGGACCGTACGAAGACGGAGGAGGAGGTGCGCCCACCGCCGTCTGCGAATCCACCCCACGCGTTGACCTTCGCAGAGCTGCAGTGCTGCCTTCCCACCCTGCAGGGCCGCAGCGGCGGCGTCACCCGCGAGGCGGCGGTGCAACGGCGGCGGCGGCAGCAGCAGCGGGCGCACGCGCCCACCGCCTTCGAGGCTGCCGGCGGTGCGGCCAGAAGCCAAATGTTTGCGGGGGCGCGGTCGCCCTCGCAGGGCGAGCTGCCGTCGGAGGACGGCACAGACGCGGGCGCCGTCGGCGGTACCGCAGGCATGCCCAAGAGCGTGCGCCGCGCCAACGCCAGCGGCCTCGCCGTCGCGCCGGGAGACAGTAGTTTGCGGCGCTGCAACAGCCTCTCTCCGCCGTCGGGGGTGGGGGCGCTGGTGATGTCGCCCAGCCCTGACGCGCGGCGCGGGCGGCAGGCCAGCGTGCAGGCGACGCCGGAGAGGAGGGAGACGGCCGCGGCCTGCCCCGTGCGGTGGGCTGTGGGGACGAAGAGCGAGGGCAGCGACGGCAATGCCGCCACTGTTAACGAGAACGATGCGGGTGTGGGGGCGGCCGTGGACAGCAGACGCCGCACTGCGCAGGTGGCGGGCGAAGTCTCCGCGCCCAGCTGGCGGAGTCCCACGTGCGACGTCAACAGCGAGGAGAGTTCACCGCAGTCGCCGCTACGGTGGCACGCCTCCCGGCAGGGTGGCGTCAGCAACAGGGCAAAGCAGGCAGGAGCACTGCGGGCTCCCTCGCCGCATGCAGGGGAGGCATCGCCGCTGCGGGACTTGGAAGTAAATGCTGGGGCCCTCGCGGTTTGCGCCCCTGCGTCTCCACCTGATGCAGCGGACTCCGCTCAGCCAGACAACGGCGCAGCAGCTGGCGCGGCGAACCACGAGGAACCGATCGGACGCCATGCGCAGAAGGAAGCGGAAAACGCGAGGAGACAGCCGTCGCCCGCGCCGCATCTGCGGCACTTGATTGAACCCGCGTGCGACGACGCGGCTTCCATCGCGGTGCCTCAGGCGTCTCTTCTCTCGCGTGCGGCGCGGCTTCCCCGCGGTGGCACCGGACACGTAGCCAACGGCAGCCGCGGGCATTCCGCGCCACTTCCGCGCAGCTGCGCGCCGCGTCGTTCTCGGTTCTCCACCGCCGGCACCGCCGGAAGTTGCCGCTACGCCATGACCGCGTGGCGCGACCCGTCCGGGGTGGAGATCGACGTGGATGACGCCCGCCTCCTCCCACCCGCCGTGGCACGCGCGGCGCGGGCCAACTTGGGACCCCGACCCCGCCCCAAGCTGCGGTTTACGTGGAGCTGCCCCATGTGCGGCGAGCAGGGCACGAGGATGCCTGAAGACCCGCGTTAAAACCAGGTTGAAAGCAGCGGCAGCAAGTGGTAGTGGTGGCGGTGGCGGCGAAGCGACGCTGAACGCAACTTGCGGAGGTCTTTTTTCCTGCATGCATGTGCGTGTATGTGTATGTGTGCTTTTTTGTACCGTTTTCCCCCCCCCCCTTCTCTCCGTAGTGTCCTGCGCGCCCATGGTTTTCCACCCAGGCCGCTCAGAGATAGCGGGGAAAAGGGAGAGAGAGAGAAAGAGAGAGAACATCTCTGGCCGGTGGTGGGGACGGCGCGTGTGTGTGGCTTCTCACCACCCCTGCCTCGTGTGATGTTTGCGCCTTGGAGGCACTTTTTCCCTCTCTGTAACCTAACGAAACATGCATGCATCTCCCTCACTCCTCCCACGCGCACTCCCTCCCCGCTTGTCTGTCCGTCTGTCTGTCTGCCGTTGGGGCAGCGACGCCGCCTGCCACGAACGCCGTGTGCCTCTCAGGACGGCAGCGTGTACGTCTTTTTTATTTATTTATTTCTTGTTTTTGCCCGCCGGGGAGCAGAAAACAAAAAAAAGGGTAAGGAAGCGTAGGAAGCGGAGCTCTCTCTCTCTCTCTCTCTCTCTTTCTCTTTCTCTCTCGAGCATTCGAAGAGAAAAACGGGGGTGAGGAAAGGAAGGGTGTGGTGAGGGGGAACGGAGAAACGTAGCAGCAGACGTAGAAGCAGCGGCACCGTTATTTTCTATTTATTTTATTTTATTGTTTGCGTCTGTGGGTGCGGGTGGTGACTGCGGCGGATGTACCGTCGGGTGTCGTTGCGTGCCACGGGTGGGATGCTCGCGGCGGGGGCGGGCGGCGCCGGCTACGCGCAGCGGCGCGGCTTCCGCAAGGAGTTGTTTGAGGGGCCGCTCGACATCAAACCCGGCGAGCGCGCGGCGCGCAAGGGGCCCCCGGTGTCCCACAGCCTGCCGGTGTACAAAACCGCCCACAAACTCAACAATAGTGTCCGCTGGAAGAACGCGAACCTCATCGCCAACGTGGCGGGCGGGAAGGACTACCGCCTGCGTGAGACCCAGGGCGAGGGCACCTTTGACGAGTCCGGCATGTACCGTGACTGGCTCTACGGCGACGAGCGGCGGTACGCCAACTACATCGGCGTCGCCCTCGCCTGCCTGAGCATTGGGCTGTTTCTGTACACGATGCGGGTGATGAGCGCGGAGACGTGGGACATCCCCGCCCCGGTGCTGGCGTCGCAGCGCAAGAAGGTCGCCGCGGCAGCCGCAAAGGCAGAGGCAGAGGCAGGCGTCACCGCCGCGGCAGCCGGGGGCGAAACGGGGAAGGAAGGTGGTAGCGGCAACGAGGCGGCCCAGCTGCCGGACGCACTCGCCATGCTGAAGAAGCCCGCGATTGTCTCCAAGGTGGCGTAGCTGGGCGCATAGCACCCACGCATACACACACACACCCTGCCCTCACGGTGAATGCGTGCGGAAAGGAAGGGAAATGGAAAGGTGGAGGCCGTGTTGTATTGTGTTTTGTTTTTGTTTTTTGCTTTTCTGCTGCCTTTGTATGCGTTTGTTTTTCGTCTTCATTTTTGTTTGTTTCGTTTTGTTTCCCGGTTGTTCGGTCTGTGGCTGCGAATGTGTGTGTGTGTGTGTGTAGGCCAACGCCCCGCACGACGCCGGGAAGACATCTGTCTGCGCGGCAAATTCGACCTGGCTTGTATGTGTGTGTGTGTGAGAGAGAGAGAGTGAGGGACAAGGAGTGAGAGCGTCTGGCACGCATGCAATGAGAGGAATACGCATATGTGGGTGGAATCGTGTGCATGCATCTTCTTTTTTTTCTTTACCTTGCCTCACCTCCGCTTGCCTCCAACTGTGTCTTTTTGCCTCTTTTTTTTGTTTCTGCTTTTGCCCTGGCCGCTGCTTTGCCGGGGGAGTGAGGAAAAAGCGAAGGAGGGGCAAGAGCGCTGCAGAGGCGAGGAGTTCCTCACACACGCTTGTATTAGGGAGGAGAGGCCCCAGACACACACGCACGGGGTGGCGCAGCGCAGGGGAGGGAGGCAGGGCGTAGCAGGCAGGCAGACAAAACCGGCGGGGCGGGGCGGGGCCCACACATGACGACACGCGCGGCCCCACCGCAGGCGGCCGTGCCGCGGCACCCGCCGGCGAACACGGACCTGATCTACCACCAGACCATCATCCCCACGCAGAAGATCACGCACTGCGCCGTCGGCAGCTTCACCCTCCCCGGCGCCACCGACTTTGCGGTGGTGCGGCACGACACGCTCGAGCTGTGGACGCTGCACGTGGACCGCAACGCGGCGGAGTGCGTCCACAGCACGCGGCTTTTCGCGAATGTGTACCAAGTCGCCGCGGTGCCGACCTCCACCACCGCCGCCGCCGCCGGCCGCGGCTCTGCGGGGATCCTCGACGCGGCCTCCACCGAGACGGCGGCGATGCACCGCCTCGCCGTGACATCGGAGACGGGCTGCCTGGTGCTGCTCCGCTACGACCTCGACGAGCCACCGGTGCCGGCCCGCCTCGCGCAGGATCCGACGAGCGGCAGCCAACACCCCAACGACGTCGACAACGACGACGATGACGACGACGCGGAGGGCCTGCGCGGCGCCGCGGCGCCCACGTCGCTGCGGGGGAGGTTTGTCCGCGTCAGCGAGGTGGCGCTGGGCCGGAGCGGGGCGCGGGTGACGGTGCCGGGGGCGCGCCTGGCGGTGGACCCGCTGGGCCGCGCCGTCTTCGCGGCGGCGCTGATGCGGCTGAAGGTACTCGTCCCGCTGCGCAAGCACGAGGGGTACGACGCCCTCCGGCGCGGCGGCGCGCTGCACGACGACGGCGAGGATGAGCTGCTGGCGCCGTCGTCGTCGGCGCTGCGTGGCGCGGCCGCGGGGCCGGAGGGCGCCGTGGCGCCAAAAAAGCGACGGCCCGCGGTGCGGGACGTCTTGTCCTTCGGCTCCCCCGTCGAGGCGCACCGGCAGACGATCATCTTTGCCCTCTGCGCCCTGGAGGGGGCGACGGAGAACGCCACGTTTGCGACGCTGGAGCAGGAGATACACGAGGCGCAGTCGGCCGTGGGGGAGGCGGCCGCCGCGCCCAGCGTGGGGGCGGGGCAGGCCTTTTTGCGCGTGAACCCCGGCGCGAAGCTGCCGTCGCAGGGAGGAGGGGGCGGCGTCAGCCGGCGCTCGAAGCAGCTGGTGGTGTACGCCTTCGTGGCGGGCCTGCAGCAGGTGCAGCGGACCCACCTCGTCTCCGTTCCGGCGACGGCGCACCGCCTCATTGCGGTGCCCGCCTCCCCCGCTGGCCCCGGCGGCGTCATCGTCTGCACCGACGCGGAGCTCGTCTGGTACGACCTCCTCCCCCAGCTGCACGGCGACGGCGTCCTCGGCAGCAGCAGCCTCTCCGACCCCAACCTGCCGCTGCCGCCCGCGGGCCTCTCCGCCGTCTCGCTGTTCAAGACGGCCGCCCCGTTTCCCCGGCGCAACGACTTCCGTGAGCAGCTGTACGACCCCATGATTATTGCGCACGCCATGACGTGCGTGCGCAACGACTTCTTTATGCTGCTGCAGGACGACCAGGGCGACGTGTTCCGCGTCAGCCTCACCGTGATGGACGTGCAGCGCGCCTACGACGCGCTACGAATGCGGCAGCAGCAGCAACGCATGGGCGCCGCAGCGGCCGCGGTGCCGCCCGTCACCGTGCCCTCGCCGCTGACGGTCTCCTACTTCGACACGCTGCCGCCGACGACGGCCATGGCGCTCTTTCGCCGCGGCTTCGTGTTCGCCGCGAGTGAGTCGGCCCCCACGCATGGGCTGTACAAAATCGTCAAGGACGGCTACCGCACCGACGCGGAGTACATTTTGACTAGGATGCGGATGGTGGATCAGCGGCACGGCCGCCCCGACGACGGGTACGAGGAGGACGCAAAAGGCGGTGCCCCGCAGCCGCCGCAGCCGCCGCCGTCGCCGTCGTCGTCTGTGGCCGCTGCCGCGGAAGCAGGGGAGGACGGCACGGGCGCGTCTGGGGGAATGGCGCTGATGCCGCCGCCGCCGCCGCTGGCCAAAGGGCCCGCCGTTCTGCTCCCCCCGCCCTCCTCGCTCCAGAGAACGCAGCAGTTACAGCAGCCAAAGGGCCGCGTGGTCCCACTTTTCATCCCTCACCCCTCGCTGCGGCACATGGTGCTGCTCGAAACCTACCCGAGCACGCCCGCGATAACCTCCCTCGTCGTGACGATTCCGCAGCAGACGCAGGACGCGGAAGTTAATCAAGAGCGGCAACCCCACCACCTGCATCAGAAGCAGCAGCAGCCGCACGTGCAGATCGACGCGTTGGTGGGCCGCGGCTCCGACAGTGTGTTGCTGCACGCGCGGTACGGGTATGCGGCGAGGCTGGAAAGCTCCTTCACCTTGCCGGCGGTGTTCTCCCACCTGACCCCGTTGACCTCTGCCACGGCGATGCAGCAGCGGTGGCGCGAAGCCCAGCTGGAGGCGAAGAAGCGCTCGGGCGGAGGGAGCTACCGCCACGCAGCAAAGACACCCTCCCGCCTCCCAGGCAATCTCCTCTGGGATGATAAGCTACTGCTCTCGACGCGGCAAGGCACCACCGTACTTTCGCTCGCGCTCACGGGGCAGGTGGAGCCCGACACACTCTCGGGGTTTGTGACCTCCGAGCACACCATTGCGGCGGGAACTCTACACTGCGGCGTGGGCTACGTGCAAATCACGCCGAGCTGCATCGTCGTGCTCCCTCAGCGTGTGGAGCAGCAGCAGCAGCAGGGCGCCACGGTGTCCACCACGCCCGTGGCTGAGAGTGTCACGTGGATGCATCCACACGGCAAGCGCATCCTCGCTGCCGCCGTCGCCGGGAATACGATGGTGGTCTCCTTCGCCCAGGGCGGCGGCATCGCCAGCTTTGACATGGGAATGCGGGGGACGCGGCTGCAGCAGCTGGAGGCCATCCCGTCCTTCCCGCACACCCCCGCGATCTCCCTCCTGCGGGACCCGGACGCCGAGTCAAGGCACTTCACCGCGTCCATGCACGCCTCCGCGGCGGCGTTGGCGGCCATTGCCACCGCAAGCCACGAGGTCTACATTGTGAATCCCAAACGGCTGCGGGAACCGTTGGAAACCATTCGCTGCACCAGCGACGACGTGAGCGGCGGCGCCCCACCGGCGATTGTCTCTGTGCTGTTAACGTACCTTGGAAGGACAAGCGGGGTGCGGCGCCTCTTTTGTTTTATTGGCCACATGGACGGCACAGTGACCCGCTGCGAGCTGGACACGGCGACGTACAAGGCGATGGACCGGGCAGTCCTGACGTGCGGCAGCGCACCCTGCCAGATGATCGCCGGCGACGGGGAGCGGGCGTGCTACGTGCTCTGTGGGGAGTTCAACTGGCGCTGCGACGTGCGGGACGGGCTGCCCAAGACCGTCCCCTGGCGCTTCCCCGCGCCGCAGGTGATGTACGCCTCCTTCCGGCGACCGCCGATCGCGAGGGCGGCGGCCACGACGGAGGTGGAGGTGTCAACTGGGGCGCGGGAGGAGTTGGTGCTGGGGGTCGCCGGCAACACGCTCTCCCTGTTCGCCGCGCAGCAGAGTGGCGGGACCAGCACGGCAGAGACCTCGCTGGAGTACAGCTTTGGCCACACCCAACTCTCCGTGGCGGGGCGGCGACTGCTGCAGCACCCCACGCGGGCGGAGTACTTGATTGTGATTGGCACGGAGCACCGTGGGTACGGCGTCGCCGCGCTGCGACGGGCGGCAGCGGCGGCGGCGGCGGCGGTGGCTGAACAGCAGCGCCGTCGCCAAGGCAACACGACGGAGGCTGGTGAGGGCAGTGCGACGAAGGACGAGAATGCGGCGGGTGCAAAAAACACGAGTGGGGGTGGAATTCCGCTGGACAAACCGCAGCGGTCGTTGAACCACGCCGACCACTACGTCAGCACGCTGCAGCTGTACAACAAGCGCACGGATCGACTCGACCCGCCCTTGTACTTTCAAGAGCGCGAGGCGGTGCTCTCCGCCGCGGTTGGGAGTTTTGTAAAGGACTTCGGGAAGGAGCCGGTGGTGGTGGCGGGCTGCGCCGAGCAGTACACGCACGGAAGTGGCTGTGGTGTTGGCCCCGCCTGGACGCAGGGCCGTCTTCGGGCGTTTCGCTTTGTCGTGAGCCAAAGCAGTATGCCAGGCGGCGGTGGTGCAACGCCGGTGCTGCGACTCGAGCAGCTGCACGACACACCCATCACCGCGGCAGAAACCGGCGGTGAGGGCGGCGCTGGCGGCGTCGCCGCCTCGTATCGGACGACGCCGCTCATGGACTACCCCTCGGCGCTGCACATTTGCCCAGAGGTGGGGCTGCTGTTTGTGGGGCTGGGGCCCGAGAATGGACTGCAGGTGTACGCGTGGGGGCAGCGGCGCTTCCTGCGCAAGCGGCGGCTTCCGAACGTGCCGAGCCGAATCACGGCAATTGAGACCGTGTTCGTGTCTCCGCCCGGTGCGGCGTCCTCCACCGCGGCGGCGTCAAACGCCGCACCGGACCTCTTCCGCTGCGGCCCCAACAGCGGCAGTCTTGCGCGCGACAAGCGTCTGCTCATCGTCTGCGGCACTCTCGACCAGTCTGTCTTCATTGCGACGGTGCAGCCGGGCAGCGGCACGGCGGGATCCATGTCGTTCCTGATGCTTGTCGCCCGCGACGCGGTCCCGCGCAGCGTGACGAGCATCGTGTGCGTCGACGAGCGCACCGTCGCCGTGGCAGACCGCTTCGGCAGCGTCGCCTTCCTGCGGCTTCCACGCGACGCGCGACTGGGATTCGCGGAGCCGCTGCACCACATGAGCGACGCCGAGCTGATGGAGGTGGAGCGCTACGCGGCGCACGAGCAGGTGCTGCAGGAGATCGCCGTGCACCACACCGGCCAGCTCGTCACGGCGCTGCGCGTGCACGACTACGACCCCAGCGGCGGCGCGGACCCCTCGCTGGCGCTGCGCATCCTCTTCTACGCCACCGCCCTCGGCTCGGTGGGGGCCTACACGCCGTTTGTGCGGGAGGAGGACGCCGCCCTGGCGGCGCATTTGCAGCCCCTCATCGCCGCCCACATTCGCTGCCCGCTGCAGGACGGCAGCGGCTGCCCCCCGTACAACGCCGCTGGCCGCCTCACCGCCTCCGCCGCGGCGGCCGTGTCGCCGTCGCCGGTCCACAACGTCGTGGAGGGCGACCTCGCGCAGCTCCTGCTGCACGCCTCCACCTCGCTTTTCTCGACGGAGGCGAAGACCGACGTGGAGGCGGAGCTCGCGCGGCGGGAGCGGGCCGAGGCGGCGCAGCGGAACGTACTCGGCCTGCCGCCCCGCTCCTGGCCGGCGCTGGCGGAGCTGGTCGCAAAGCACCGCGCCCTCGTCACGCTTCCGCCGTAGACCGTTCCCGGCCCCGCCGCCCGCGCCCCGGTCAGTGCGCCCGTTTGAACCACTCTAACCAAAGGCGCGAAAGGAGGAGAAGAGGAACACGCAAACAGGAAAAGAAAAAGAAAAAAAACGCATGAAGAAGTGTAAGCAACAGCCGCAACCAACAAGAAAAAAAAACGTAAACCACACGCATCGTAACGGCGCACGTACGCAGGACACGTATATTTCTATATATACATAGATAGAGAGAGAGAGAAAGCGAGAGAGACATATAAGCGGCCGGAGAAGTGTACGGTGCCACAGCTGCTGCGATTTGCCCCCTTCAATCATTTCCACGCGAATACTTCACAAACTGAGAAAGAGGGGCGGGGGGCACACGCAAACGGCGAATGCGTACCAGTTGCAAGGGCTTGCAACGTGGACTTAATTTGCATCTTTCTCATTCTGTCCCATGTGCATTTTTCTTTCTTTGCTTGTTTGTTTTTTTCTTCCTTATTTCTTTCCTGCTCTCTCTCTCTCTCTCTTTCTGCTCCGTCCGGGGCTTGGGTGGACGAAAACAGCCTGCAGGGCTTAGGAGCCAGACAGGTGCCTTCGACTTAACTCTTGTATTTGTGTGTGTGTGTGTGAGGCGTCGCAATCAAAAGGAAAACAGTAATAACAACAAGAACCAAGAAACGAAAAAGAAAAGAAAAAAAGAAAGAGGGAGGGTGGAGGTGCCGGAGAAGGAAAGCGGGCCAGAGCACAGAGGCGTTATTCGTGACTTTGTGCGTTCCGTGGGGGCGAGGCAGGTGTGCGAGTTCGCTGCTGGGAAAAGGCGTAAGCCTGACGTCCACGGGCCGGCGCTGCGTCTACATCGCTGCCGCGGCCTCTCTGCGTGTCTCTCTGTGCGTGCGGGCGCGCGGGAGTCGCGTGGTTTTGATTGAAGCTTCCTCTTTGAGACGGTTGGTGTGTCTGTGTCTGTGTCTGTGTGTAGGGGGGCAGATGCTTGCGCCGTCCGCCAACGCCCCCGCCACGCCGCTGATGCTGGCGCTCTACACCCTCTCGGTTGCACTGGTGCTGCTGTTCAGCACCCCCGTGGGCGACACCGCGGTGCGGCAGATGCTCCCACTGCAGCAGTTCCAGCGCCCGCGCTCCCCGTCGATCATGACGGAGGCGCTGGGCGGAGTGCCCGACGCGGCCGCAAGCAGCGAGCCTGGCAATTACGGGGTGGGGAAGGGCAGGAGAACCGCGCCCGGCGGCGGGCGGCATAAAAAAATGATGGAAGAGGAGAATGCGGCAGCGATAGCAGAGGCGAAGCGGTTTGTGTGGCGGCAGCGCGTCCGTGCGATGCGGCATGCGGACTACATGCGCATCGAGACGCTGCACTTTTTAAAGCTGCTATCGATGTCCATCCCGCGTCTGCGCCTCGTGTGGCGGGGCGAAGACTACTGCGCATGGGAGGGCGTCACCTGCACGGCGCTGCGCTACCCGCTAGAGACGCTTATTGACGTGCCGCACGTTCTCGCTAAGCAGCGCAAGCGCGGCAGCGGCGCCACGGCGGATGGGACGCTCACGCGAGGCACCGACGGTGCCCGCCTTTTAGGCAACGTGGAGGACGACCCCGTCGTCACACTGGTGGGGGTGCGGCTGCGGGGGATGAATCTATTCGGTGTTCTGCAGGGGCTGCGACCGGTCGGCGCCTCGAGCATCGCCTCTCCGCTGCTGTCCCCCGCGGCGGCGACCGCCATGATGAACACGGAGTACCGCCGGGCGCGGCGCGAGCGGGACAGGCGGCGGCTCGCGATTACGTCCCCGCGTGAGCCGCAGTACTGGCCGTGGGAGGCGGAGGACATGCGGCTGTACGCCGGCATGCAGAACAGCACGTGCGAGATGGTGCGGTACACCCTCCGCCGCATCCTGCGTCGCCTGGAGCTGCGCGGGGAGCGGACGAACCACCCGGATTTGCAGGGGTTTGCCCCCACCGCGGAGGAGCTCGCCCCCGCACGGGAGGCGGCCGGCGGGAGCTCTTCGCCTCCGCACCAAACAGCCTCGCCGACGACGGCGGCGTCGGCCCCCTCAGCGTCGTCGCCAGCGAGGTCTCAGTTAGTGGTGGCGGGCGCCAGCGACGTCGCACGGATGCTCCACGACACGCTCCTGCCGCAGCTGACCCGCCAGGACATCGCACAGACGGTGTTTGGCGAGATTGAGCCGAGGTTGGTGGGGATCCAGCGCTTTGACATCTCGCACAACCCCGGCATCGTCGTGGCGGAGACGCTGCACTGGTCCTTTCCATACATGCGGACATTTGACACCTTCGGTACGACGCCGCAGGCGCGCGGTAGCAGCAGAGTGCGGCATTGAAGGCAGAGCTGCGGCGTTCTTCTTGCGGCGAAGCAGAAGGAGAGGCGGAGTGGAACATGCGCAAAAGAAAAAGAAGAAAAGAACTAACAAATAATGAGCAGAATCAGAATCACATGCATGCACAGACACGGGTATATATGTGTGTGTATGTGTGTGTGCATTTTTTGCTTGGTACGCTGCGTCTTCTTTATGTTGATGGTTCAACTAGGAATTTGAAGGAGACCCCCCCCTCCCCCCGGCGAAGGCGAGGGAGTTGTATGCCGCCTGTTTGCGTGCGGAAATACGAAGAAAAGAGAAGAAAAAAAAAGACTGGCGCGCGAAAGGCGCCTGGGCGTCACTGTTGGATAAAGACGAACACGCCATGCCTGCATTGCGTATGATGAAAGAGCGAGCTAGGGGTTATGTTGGCCTCTCGTGTTTGTTTGTGTAGTTTCCTTATTTCCTTCCTTTTCCTGCTTATTTCAGCTCCCTCTCTCTCTCACACACACACTCTGTAGGAGCAGGAGACGGGGGGAGGAGGGAGGGAGTGGGAGAAGTGAGGAGGCCATATCCACGTATTCTTTTTTTTTACTGCGCATTCTGTCGTTGTGTTTTTCGTTCTCTCTTTCTCCCTGTGCGTGTGCGTGGGAGTTGCCTCTGCTGTTCCTGGCGGGCGTGGGGGCACGTCGAGTGGTGCTGCTGCCTGCTTCTGTCTCGCCTGGCATTCCCTGCGGGTGCCGGGAGGGGCGGGGAGTGGGGGCGGGGGACACGGAAAGCATCCTTGGCGGCCGTGCATTGCAGTCCGGAAGGTGGCGACCGCCCCCTCGCACGCACGCACGCACGCGCGCAAGTCGTTATATAGTTTGTTTGCTTGTTTGTTTTGCATTTGCCTGAATGGACGGAAGATACTTTTTTGTTTTTTGTTCTTTTTTTTTCCTTCCCTCTTGCTTCGCAGTGCGTTGCTCCCCGCCCTGACCAAATAGAACAGAAGCAACCGAGGAATAAGTGGTGGGAAAAACAAAAAAGAAGTGGGCTCTGGAATTCCCTCACCGTCTCTGTGCCTGTGTGTGTGTGTGTGTGTGTGTGTGTTTGTGCTGTTATCATCCCCCCCCCCTGCTGCCCGTCTACGTGTGTATCTGTGGGTGCGTGTGGCTGCCATTCCTCCGCCACGGCTACGTTTTTGTTTTTGTTTTCACTCCCCACCCACCCCCTCACGTTCCCTCGCCAAACGCACACCTGTAGGTTTCAGCATACGCACACGCGTATTTGTGAGGAAAGCAAAAGAGGAGTATATATATATATATATAATATATAGAGAGAGGGTGGGGGAGCAGCTGCGAGCAAGCAAGCAACGGAGGGAGACGACACGCGAGGTGTAGCGATGGTGCTAAGTATGAGCAGCGGCAGCAACAACAACAACAACAACAGCAACAGCAACAACAACAAGGCAGGAAGCGGCGGCGGGGGGGCGGCGGCGGCGGCGGCGGCCATGATGGTGCCTTCCTCCTCGGCGGGGCCCGCCCGCTCACCGGAGCGGCTGGTGGCAGCGCAGAAGTGGCTGCTGCAGTGCGATGCCGTGTTGAACACGTGCGCGGTGCCCATCAGCGCGACGACCGCCGTTCAGACCCGTCGCCGCGTGGCGGGTGAGGGCGCCGCGCAAATTTTGAAGCTCTTGGGGGAGCTTCGGGCGGCGCTCGGCGACTCCGCAGAGGCGGCCTCACCCGCCGCCGCGAAATCCGTGGGTGGGGCGGAGAACAACAACAACAATAACGGTGGCGGCGGCTATCAGTTGGAGAAGGGTGCGGATGCCCTATTGGCGAGTGCGATGGCGGAGGGGCGCGGCGACGTCTTTCGCGCGGAGTGCGGGTTGGAGGTGGGGGGCGATGAACTGCGGCTCCCCGACGGCGATGCGCTGTCCACGGCGACGCCGACGGTGCCGGCGACGGCGACGGCGGAGGTGGTAAGCCGTCGCCTGCAGCCCCTGCAGCGCGCCCTCGCGAGCACGAAGGAACTGCGACAGATCCAGCAGTACTCCCAGCTCCTCGCTGCGGCGGGGAAGGGGGATGCTTTGGCGGAGGCTGTGCCGACGCTCGTGAAGGGGCTGCAGGCCGCCTTAGAGGAGAGTCTACGCATCCTTGAGCACGGCTACGCCACCTGCGCCCGCTCCACCGATGACATTACGGCCTGGGGGGAGTGGACGCAACCGCTGCTGCGGCTGCTTGGAAACACGCTGCGGGTGGCCCCGCTGGAGCGCGCGACGGAGGAGCCCCAGGAGCGCCTTCGCCGCGCCGCGTTTGACGTGAAGGAGAAGCAGCGGGAGCAGGAGGACGCCGTCACGGACGGGGACATGGTGCGCTCCGAGCACCTGTACTTTGAGGCGACCGCGTTACTGGAGGGAATGCGGCCGCTCTACGACAAACTGGAGCAGGTGATTGAGGCGTACAAGAAGGAGGCGGCGGAGGGGCCGCTGCAGCAGCTGCGGACGCAGTCCACCGAACTCACCTCCAACCTCGCCCCGGCGATGATCGCGAGGGAGGAGCATCTGAAGCGGCGCTGCACCGCCGACATAGAGCGACTGGCGGACCGGCGGGAGGCGGTGCGGTCGGCCCGCAACGCGCAGCGGGCGAGCTTCAGTGTTCAGATGGTCGAGTGGGATAAGCTGTTTCAGCTGAACCGGCAGCAGCAGGACGCGTGTCTGCAGGCCATTGAGGAGCTTGAGCAGCGCCTGCGCCAGCTCACGGAGGAGCGCACGTTTCTCGTTGAGGACCGCCTGGAGGCGATGACGCAGGAGCGGCAGCGCGAGGAGGACGCGGTGGCGTTTATGGCCTTTGCGGACAGGCAGGAGGACGTCCTGCGGAGGACGCTGCTGTACGTTGAGCAGAGCCTGCACTGCGCCCACGGCATCAGTGAGGCGGTGCGGTCGGGCTACAGGCACCTCAACCGCCACCTGCAGGACGTGGTGCTGCAAGGCGCGGAGACGCGGCTGCTGGAGGTGCGCAAGGAGCGGCTGGAGCACTTCCGCAGCCTCTACCTCACCCTGGGCGAGCTGCAGTTCAAGAAGGAGCGGCACGTGGAGGAGCTAAACAAGCGGATTGAGTACTACCACGTCCAGCAGGAGCTGGCGATGGACACGTTTAACCCCAAGGCGAGGGAGTTCAGCAAGGCGAAGAAGGACCTGCTGGAGGTGAAGGAGAAGATGGAGCAGCAGGTGCAGCTCATCTCCCAAAAGGCGGCGCAGCAGCTGGAGGACTTCAAGCCGACGGAGAAGCTGCTGCTGGCGTCGGGGGTGCAGTTCCGTCACCCTGTGGAAGACCTCGCGGAGATGAACGCGCTGCGGACGCAGAAGCTCCTCGAGTACCACTCACTCATGTCAACCATGAAGGCCGAGGGCGGCGACAGCTCCGGCGACAGCTCCGGCGACAGCAAGGATGCGAAGGGCGGCGGGGCCTGCGCCAAGCCCGCCCACCGCCTCTCCACCGCGGAGGAGCAGGCGAGGAAGTAGTAGACGACGGCGGAAAAGGTGTTGCGTGGAGGGGAAGGGGAAGGGAAAAGTGGGCGACGTTTGTAATCCGAGGCTGCAGCCGCTCCCGCTGCTGCTGCGCCATCTGCGTGCGTGTGTGCGTCTCAGCCGCCTGCTCCCCTTCCGCCCCACTCCCACGCCTCCTTTTTTTTTGTCCTCACACGCAGGCCATCTATTTACCTTGTATATATACATAAATATATATATATATACTGGACGCTCGGTGCCTACTCAAAATCATTACTTATCCATTCACAGCTGCACGCACACGCACACGCACATACATACACACATACACACGTGCGGGTATGTACAAACGGCGGGAGACGGCGCGGGCAGCGTTGCATTGCACTGCGTATAATGTTTCTCTCTGTGTGTGTGTATGTGTACGTGCTTGGTATCCCATGTATATGTTATCTATTGAGTTATATATATTTGAGAGGCTCTTGAGGTTTTTGAGGTTCAATTTTCATTATTTGCGTGGTCGTCTGCGTGTGATGTTGTGTGTTTGTTTGTTTGTTTGTTTTTTGCGTCTTTGTTGTTTAGTCCTCTTCTATTTACTTGAACCCAACTTGAATGCACATTGTACCCGATTTTGCCCCCAACCTCTTGCAGGCGCACACCGTCCCAGCCCGTCAGGCAGGGAGAGCTGGCAGGCAGGCGTGAGGCACGCAAATACGTCAGGGAGGAAGTACGTTTATTTGCTGTTCCTACCATCCCCCCTTTTTTTTCCCTTTTTGTCTTTCTCGCTCCCTCTCTCTCTCTCTGTGGGTGTGTGCCCGCCTCCGCTTCGTTGCGGCGACGGGCAGAATCGCACAGGCGCCAACGCACGTCGTTGCTTGTTACCGCTGTGTTGGGGGTGGGGGGCGGCGGGTCAACTAGTTCCGGGCAACAGCACACCGCAAGGAAAAAAGGAGAGCTCGACGCGAATCCACGCACGCACATAAACACAAGCAACTCCAATGGCGGCGGCGGCGGCGGCGATTAAGCGCCTTGCGAAGGAGAAGTTGAAGCTCGACGAGTCGCGCGTGCGCGACTTCTACACGTGCCCGCTGGAGGACATCTTTGAGTGGCACTTCACCCTGCAGGGGCCGGAGAACTCTCCGTACGAGGGGGGCCTGTACCACGGCTCCATCCGCTTCCCCCGCAACTACCCCTTTGCCCCGCCGGACATCATCTTCTTCACCGAAAGCGGCCGCTTTGAGGTGGGCACGAAGATCTGCTCCTCCATCAGCAGCTACCACCCGGAGCTGTGGAAGCCGGTGTACGACATCCAGCTAGTCCTCGTGGCGCTGCGCCTCTTCATGGCGCAGGACGAGGAGCTCGGCGTGGGGTCCCTCATGCGGCGGTACGTCGCGCCGGAGGAGAAGCGCCGGCTGGCGCGGGAGAGCCACCACTTCCGCTGCGCGGCGTGCGGGATGGCGAGTGCGTGGGAGGTGTGGAAGACGCAGATGGAGCGGCACCCGCCGGTCTCGCCGGAGGTGGGGGCGAGTTTGCCGAAGGTAACGGAGGGGCGGCGAAGCGACGCAGCGTCGGCCGGCGAGGCGGAGACCGCCGCAGCGACGACGGTGCCTGCAGGGAGTGAGGTGGGCTCGGCAGCAGCGGCCGTGGAGACGGAGCCGGGAGGCGAGGAGACGTCCACGCCGGCCATGAAATGCAACGAGGCCGCCGCAACTCCGCCGGCGCCCACGAGTGAAGCGAAGGCCACCACGCAAACAAAGGAAGAGCAGCAGCCGCAGCAGAGAAGGGACCTCGATGGAGACGTCACCACGCCACGCTATGGGGTTCCTAGCCATGCACCCGAAGCCGCAGAGCGACGAGATCGCTGGGACGGGACGGCGGCACCCGCGCTGGCCGAGCCCGCCCCGCCTGTGTACGTCCGCATTCAGGCCGGTGGCTGGGTTTTGTTGCGGGTGCAGCTGAAACACCTCGACGCCGTCATTGCCGCCTGCTCTCTCGTTTGCTCTGCGATTATGGTAAAGAAGTGGTGCTGGTCATAGTGCGTCTCTCTGCCCTGTCCACGCCCTCTGCGTGTGTGTGTGTGTGTGTGTGTGCTTAGTGAGGAGAAAAGTGGCCGAGAGCAAAGGAATACCGTGAGGAGATCCTCCTCTCCCTCGCTCGCTTTCTGGGCGTTGTTTTTTGTTCCCCTCCCCCCTAGCCACGTTTATGCATTTCTCTTGCATTACCCGCGTGCGTCGGCGCCATCCTTTTTGTGGTGGGAAGGAAGGCGGCGAGGGTGTTGTGGCGGCACGCGGCCACACGAAGAAAAGGGCAGCGAGAGGCCAACAACGTATTCCGGCTCTCACACACGCACAGAAAGAGAGAGCGCGCGAGAAGGCGAGAGGATGGGGAGGAGCGATATAGCACGCCCACACGAATGCTGTAGTGATGCGTATTTCATTTTTACTTGTTATTTGCGAAACGCCCCGTCGCGGCTCCACTGTGCGTCGGTCCTTTTTTTTTTCTCGTTTCTCCCTTTGGAGATGGACCGAATGCCTTCACGCACATGTGCTGTGGGACGGCGCCTGCACGGGGAGCGGAGGGGGAGGGGGGCTGGTAGGGAGGAAGAAGCCGAGTGCGTGCGCAGCCAGACGGTGTGTGTCTCTCTTTCCTGCCTTTTTTTCTTCCCTTCGTGTGAGGGATAGCGCACAGACACATACGCGCATAGAGAGAAGAAATTAAAGAGAGAGAGAGAGAGAGAGTGCGGCTGCGGTGCAGTAGGACGACGCGGAAGTGGCAGTGGCTGGCAGGCGGCAATGAGATCCCGCACCCCGCCGCTAACGTTTGCGGCCAACAAGAATGGCGCAGGCGGCAACGCAGGCGGTGCCCCCGCCAACACCGACGAGAAGGGCAGCACGGCGGAGGTGAACACGGCGACAAAGTCGCTCTACCTGGGCGTCGCCACGGGACGCGCCTTCCCGTACGTCGCGCAGTGGCTGCAGGGGAAGTCCAGCGAGATGCGGGACAAGGCGGGGACGCTGGCGTCGGAGTGCAACACAGAGCTCGTGCGCCAGGTGGACCAGAACCACAAAGCCATCATTGAGGGTCGCGTGGCGAGCGAGAAGGAGCGGCAGAAGATGCTCACGTTTCTTCAGGAGATTCAGTCGGTGCGGGTGCATCAGCGTGCGGCGGGGGCGGCGTGGCTCGACGCCTTTCGCGACGCCGCCGCCGAGTACAAGGCGGAGTTGTGTGAAGTGGAGGCGGAGCTACGCGCGCGGCTGCACCTCGCCGAAGAGTGGACCGTGGGCGGGAATCGCGCCGTCGTCATGGAGAGCCTCTCGCGGATGCAGCAGCAGCTGCTGAAGCTGCAGCGCCGCGCCGAGCGCGAGCGGAAGCGGGAGACGATGCGGCGGGAGCAGACGCTGGGGCACATGCGCGAGGCGATGGAGCAGTTGGTGGGGGAAGTTGGGGACGCCGTCACGTGGGAGCTGCGGGAGCGCATGCACGGCCACGCACGCAGGCTCTTTTCGGGGCGGCCCACTGCCGTGTACGACTCGGCGCGGGACGACGTGTCCGCCTCCGACGACGCCGCCTCCTCCCCCCCGCCGGAGGACGAGCAGGAGCTGCTCGAGGAGGCGCGGCAGCTGGAGCTGGAGCTGCGGTGGCTCCAGCGGCGCAGGCCAAAGCGCAGGGGCGGGGACGAAGGCGGGAGTGGCGCGAAACGGACGCAGCGTCCTGCGCTGCCTGCACCGGGGGCCGCAGGCGTGGCAGGGGACGAAGGCAGCAGCAAAGGGGCGTTGCTGCCGCAGGTTCCACCGCACACGCCGCCGTGGGTCTCAAACGCGGAACGGACGGCGGTGGCGGCGGTGGAGGCCTTTCTCTCCCCGCAGGGGTCCTCCGCGTCGCTGCGGACGCATGGCGTCAGGACGTGGACGGAGGTGGCGGAGGGGCTCACGCTGCCCCCGCTCGCCACACCACAGCAAAAGTCGGGGAAGGCCGGCGAGGAAGGCGGCGGCGGTGAGAGGAAGGCCTCCACCGCTGCAAACGTCGCACGCCAGCCACCTGCCAGGGGCATTTCGTCCCGCACGCGGCGGGGGAAGCAGCAGCGGGGCTCGCTAGAGCTGCGGCCGCCGATTGTGCAGCCGCCCAACCGCGTCGGCCGTGACGCGAGCGGGAGTCACAACTCCGACCACATCGCAGGTCTCTTGGCCGCCTTGACGGAGGACACCGCCCATTTTGCCGCCTCACGTGAGAAGATGCAGACGGAGGTGAAGCGGCTGCGTGAGGAGCTGCAGAAGCACCAGGAGGAGACGGCGCGGATAATGCAGGTCAGCATTGGGCTCGAAGCGCAGCGGGCGCAGCTGCTCGTGCAGCGAGACGCGCAGGCGTCCAAGCTTCAGCTTGTCACGGCGGAGAAGTGCTCGCAGGAGCGGGTGCGGAACATGGACGCGCAGCTGCTAAACGAGGAGCTCGCCCACACGCTGCAGGTGTTGGAGGAGCAGAAGCAGAAGCGTTCCGCGGAGACGGCGCAGGTGCTGGAGTCGATTAACGACTTCAAGCAGCGGATTGCGGACCACAATCAACTGCTGCAGAAGGTTAGGGAGTATTGGCGTCTCAACAAGGCGGAGCTGAGCCGGGTAAAATACGCTGGCGCCAGTACTACCACGGCGGCGTCGCAACTTCCTTTCTCTTCCAGCGGCGGCGGCGGCGGCGGAAGCGGCGGAAGCAGCAGTAGCAGCAGCAGCAGCGTGGGTGTTTCCCCGACATCTGTGCCATACGCCTTCAGCGCCACCGTGGCTTCCCCGCTTTCCAGAGGCCCATTTGAGGAAGAGGAGACGCCTGCCGCCCCGCCATCGAAGCCTGTGCTGCCGTCCACGGCAGGCCCTGAGGCAATTTTGGCGGAGCAGGTGTTGGGGAGGTGCCAGGCTATTCCAGCGCTCGGCCTGCACCGCGCGGAGGAGGTGGCGGAGTTTATCTACAGCGTCTTTGAGGAGCTGGCGATCGCCCCGCCTGAGTCTGGAGGCGGGACGAAGAGGATCATGTGATGTAGAAGCTTCGTCTCTTTGTGTGTTGTTGCATTTTCCGCTTGCGTGCGCGCGGACGTGCGTCTGTTTCTTATGCCTTTCTCGCACTTCGTGCGCCAAACGCCTTTAACTACACACGCGAGAGTCGATGTATGTAAATGGACACCTCTGCAGTTATAACTTCCCCCTTACATGCATGTCCGTAGACGCGCACAGACGCCAGAGCATATGCACGAATGCCTGCACCTGCGTCTGTGTGTATTGCTTGATACGGGCCAGCCGCGTGAGGCATACATGGCAATAATATTTATCCTCAACTTGTCCCTTGCATCATTCGCTGTTAGGTCCACATATATATATATATATATATGAACAGAGAAAGACTGTTGCGCCCATTACACGCGCGTCCGTAACACACCTCTCCGAGAGAGAGAGAGAGAGAGAGAGAGAGAGAGAGTGGTGT